GCGTGCGCTCAGCTCTGCGCCCGCGCGTCCTCTTCCGTCCCCTATAAGGACGCTGTCGCGGGGTCCAGGGCCACCTGCTGCAGGAGTCACCTCAGATCCCTCACTCACCACATCTGCACAGACTCCGCTTTCGGATGGGCCCGTTCCTCGGTGTTGGGGTTCACGTGTGCACAGGCCTTTTTATTTTCAGGGTCTACTGAGCCCACGGCAGAACCACCCCCCAAAAGGGGACCTAGGCAGCTCTGCACCCCCTCTGCCTAAACACACCACCTCCGTGCAGGTGTCCTGTTCCCCTGCGCCCCTCACGTTTCTGGGGTCACCCTAAGGGTCACCCTTCCAGACTCGACCACAGGGACACAAGCCCCTTTGTGTCACCCCCTGAGCTGTGTCTAAGACGCCAGCTGCTGGCCACACAAAGCCCAGGATGTCACCTCGAGGGTCAGCCGGCATGCTCCCACCTCTGTCTGCACACCAGGGTGCTCTGCCTTCCTCCTGGGGGCCCGATTATGCCCTTCTCATGTCACAAAGTGAGTGGCCTGAGAACGTGACAGATCCCGACCCACACGCCTGCCCCGCAGAACTGGCAGAAAGGCCACACGGCTGCGAGCCACCGCTGCCTCCAGCTGGGGGGTCCTTCAGGATCTTTCAGGGGCCAGCAGGGCATGAGCTCTAAGTATGTACCTGCTGCATGCCTAAAAGCCACACGGGCTGGTTACCCTCCGCCTCCCCTGAGAGGAGCTGCCGAAGCCACGTGTGAGCCTCCTTGCTCCTAGGCAGTGGCTTCACGGCTCAGGGAAGTGGTCCAGGCCACACGGGAAACACTCTCCCCCGTCCTCGACGTTTCGCAATTATACATTCATTCCTTTGGCTATGCCGTGCGATGTTTAAAGTAAATATCCACTGAGAAGGAAGCCATTGTGCGCTGTCAGCTGAGCCCTCACAGACATGTCCTTGGGGTTCTCTCTTGTGAGCACGGTGTGAAGAGGTTGGGGACAGTGGGGGTGGGCCGAGGTGGGGCGGGCACAGGACCTGGGGATGGACAAGTTCTTTAATGCCCGTGTTGCCAGCTCCCTCCGGTTCTTATGTCTGCACGTTCCGTTGGCCTCTGCTCCCCGCAGCACACCCCCAACCCCGAGTCTGAGGAGGGGGTGGGCGGGGCTGCTGTGTCTGCAGCTGAGCGCCTGGTCACCTCTGACCTCTGCCCCTGTGCCCCCGCAGGCGTCCCGGAGCAGGGCTTCAGTGGCCCTGGTGTGGCCCAGGGGGCCCTGGCCGTGGGCATCGTGGCCTTGCTCACCATGACACTGATGCTGCTCTGTGCGAGGTAAGTCCCTCCGGCCCCCCAAAATCTCAGAACCATGTCGCTCCGTGAAGGAGGCCAGCCTCGAGGAGCCCTCCCGTAGTGACTGGCCAGGGGGGCCGACACCGCAACGGGGTGCAGACTGGGGTCACCCAGGGCCATGGCGGGAAGTGGGGCGGAACCGGTGCGGGGACGGGGACTGCCTGTGGCCACGCGTGCACACCGGCTCTGTCCAGAATCTCGGCCGGGAGGTTTCTGCTCTGCGACGTGCTGTGGGATGCACGGCGCCCACGGTGCAGAGCTGTTCGTGAGACTAAAACCCCAGCGGCAGCTGCTGTCCCAGAGGACCCGGGAACCCCCTGGCGTCCAGCCCAGGAGCACGTGCCATGCTCTCAGCCACCACCTGGGGGCAGCACTCCGCCTGCGGCGCACACCGGCTTGTGCCCCGGATCCCAGCCGCAGCCTCAGGCTCTATCCAGGGCCTGTCTGGGGAACATCAGATAATCTCCCTCCCATCCCCAGGGGGCCTCCCTCGTCCCCCAGGTCTCCCCAGCCCTTCTGATATGGGAGGAGCAAACTCGGGGAGCTGGGCACGGTGTCTGGGTGGCCACAGGATAATCTGGGGTGCTAGGGAGTCTGGGGGACTCAGACAGTCTGTAGCCTGTGTGGGGGGCTCACAAAGCTCTGGTGACACTTGGTGTTAACCGGGGTGTCTCGTCACTGCTTGGCAAGTCCTGGGGTGCCCCGAAAGGCCCCGGGGCATTGGGGAACCCCGTGGCCACGTGGAGGTTCGGGTGTCTGGAGGGCAGAGGCCCTAGTTGGCCTCGGGGGCCTGTGCAGCAGACGGGGCTGAGACCGGTCCATGCATCAGCTCCGTTGAACAGGGACAGGCCCCAGAATGTCCGCCAGCTTGCCTGGTTCTGGGCGCAGGCTCTGCGTGCATGTCCCCAGCAGCACCATGAGAAGCTGGCCTGTACCTGTGGTGTGGACGCCCAGCTGTGGGAAGCGTGTCCCAAGTGGACGCTGGCTGATACGCAGACCGGGCCTTGCCGTGGACGTGGGTGACACTGGGGAGGGAAAGGCGCCCCCCGGGAGTCAGCCTGTCAACGTTCGAGCCCCGGGGACTCTGTCCGCCCTCCAGGTTCTCCCTGAGGCGGAAGCTGTTCCCTCCGGTCCCGCAGGTGAAGAAGGAGCTGGGCGGCAGCCTCATGCCCGGCCCGCAGGTGAGCGCTGCCAGCCCGTGTCACCTCCCCCAGGGTTCAGAAACCGGGAGGCCGCGGGGTCGTTGGGGGTGCAGAGCCCTGGGGCAGGGGTCCCGTCTGCTCCCCAGGTCCCAGGGCTAGCTCTCCACATGAGGGGACAAGGGCAGGGAGCAAGGGATGGGACCCCGCCATTCAGCTGCCCTCACCGCACCTGTCCGTCCGGCTGGGCATCTGCGGCAAAGCCGAGACACGCCCCGGGGGAGAGTCACCATCGGAGCGCAGCACCCGGTGTCCGCTGTGTCCTTGCTGGGGGCTTCTGGCTGGTCCCTGGGTCTCCGTCTGTCTCTCGGGCCACCGTGGACACCTGCATCACCCGTCCCCAGACCCTGACCCGCTCACATCTGCAGAGGCCCTGTTTACAAGTGGGTCCCGTTCGGAGGTTCAGGAGGATGTGAGTTTGCAGGTCACCGTTCAACCCATGACAGCCGCTCCCCTTTCCTAGGGGCTCCCAGATGCAGCCCTGCCCCTTGGGAGTGGAGAGACCATCCTAGGGCATTCCCCCTGCCCCCGTGACAGATCTGCTCCTGGGCGATAAGACCGAAATGTCCCCTAAACCGAGGCTGCAGTTCTGAGCTCCAAGCCGTTCCCTCGGGAGCCTTTCCGGAGCCCCGCTCGCTCTCCCGAGGTCTGCCTTGGCAGCACGGGTTAGGGGTGCAGGATAAAACTGGGGTGCAGCCATGCCCTTTGCGGTGGGTTAGTGCATCTCAGGCCCAGGCCCCGAAGGATTTCTTGAGAAGAGATGTGGGCACAGGCTGGCCAGCTGTCCTGGAGTCCACTTCAGGCCACACTCTGGCTGCACGGCGGCCACCGAACCCTGCCCAGGTCCCTCTCCAACATGGGTCCCAGGAAACGCCAGTTCCAAAGAGCCAAGCGCGGCTGCTGGGGGGCGGGCGTCATGGAGATGCTCTGCCCTAAATCTCAGGCCGTGTGTGTGTCCCTGGGAGGCCTCGTCCGTCCGGCTCTGCATCTCACGTCCAGCGTGCTGGGGACGGATGTCGCAGCGACGTGGCTTCGTTTGTCCCCATTAAGCACGTGTACTGAGGCCTGGTTCTGATGCCGTGGAATTCACAGTGTGAAGGGCACAACTCAGGGGCCTGTGGCACATTCACGGTGCTGTGCAGCCACCAGCTCGGCCTGGTTCCAGCAGGTTCTCATCACTCTAGAAGGAGGCCCGTCTCCAGGAGCAGTCACACACCCCCTCCCCCCGCCCCCGGCCCATGGTGACCCTAACGCATGTTCTCTCTCTGTGGGCGGGGCTGCCGTGGGTGTTTCGAGCAAGCAGAATCACGCGCTCCTGCGTCCGGCACTGAGCATCGTGTCCACCGTGCGTGGACGGTCCTGATGGTCCGTCGATGAGCAGTTGTGCTGTGTCCCCCTCCTGGGGACTGCGAATCCTGCGGCCGCCACCGCTGTTCTCTCAACAGCAGGGCCAGCGGCTGCACGGGTGGCCTCAGCCGTGCTCCGTCTTCCCTCGGCCAGGTCGCCTGGGACGAGGACGGCCCGCCACCGGGCTGGGAGGAACCTGAGGACATTCTCACGGTGGAGGACGCGCCATCCTGGGCGAGCGGACAGGCGGGACCCGTGTGCCCGGCGTCCGCGGTCGACGACTCCGACAGTACCGGTCGTGAGCATCGTGTGCGCGAGGAGCGCCAGGTTCTGGCATGACGGCCAGCGCGGCTGCATCCCGCTTTGCGGCCCCACCCGCTTTCCGGCCCCTCGCTGCCGTCCGCCGCCCGCCACCGGCTCCGATTTGGAAATGGAGAGATGATTGACACACACCACCCCCGTCCCCGGTCCTCACGCCCCCCCCTCGTCGCCACGCAGCTGGCAAACGTCACAGCGGTGACGCAGGGACACGACGGATGCGGTTCACACTGTTTCCGGGCGAGCAGCTCCGCGCGGAGGGTCCCGGGAGGTTCTCGCTGGCCTCACACGGTGCTGACAGTGGGTGCGGGGCTGGCGGGGACAAAGGACACTGAGTGCAGACGTCTGTCCGGCATGTCTGTCCGCGATGCTGGGTCAGTGCTGTAACCGCGCCTGCGCGCGGAAGGCCCGCTCGTCGCGGATGTGCAGCTGCGGGGGCCGGGGCGTTTGCGGGTGAATGCGGCTACGCTGCCCACCGCCTGCGTATCCAACGGCCGG